TATTGCCATTATCCATTTCAATGGGGTTTAAATGTAAAAGTGAAATTGATGGTGTTAAAGCATGAATTTCAATCATGCTAAGAAAGAAGATATTGATGGGAGCTAGCAAGGGAGTTCTGGACAAAAATATTGCAAGGGAGAAGCTGAAATGCTGATTGCTATAAGCCTGGTGCCTCTGTGTTATCAAGTTACAGAGCTGCCACACATAAAAAGACGTCAGTCCATGTTGCATAACTCAGGATGAGGTGAATTTGTCCTTGTCAGTATTACAGCAGCCATCTCCTTCTTCCTCCCTGAGCTGGGACTTCACGGGAAAAAGTCTTCAGTATTTTATCTGAGATTTAAGGTGTCCCTTCTCATTAATCTTTGTAGTCTGGGTGATTTCTTGTGGCTACAGACTATCACACTTCATGTAAAAATCATACCTTTGTAATTATAGTGCAGTGTGCTGTCTAAGACAGTCTTAATGGAACAGTAGAAGAGAATCTTTGTACCATACAAATTACAAAGAAGACAGTAACTCAGGGTTAGCAAAACTAATGAGAAATAGGTAAGGCTGTTTTGCAGGAGCTTAATGAGTTGGATTTTAATTTCCACAGCAGATAACCAGAGCTATGAGCAACCTTGATACAACTGGAAAACAGAATCATGAAGTGTTACGTGGTCCACTGAAGCACCTGTGGCACAACTATTACACTGACCCCTGCTTGGATCCAGGCAGACATCCAGGACAGACTTTACTCTGGGGCTGCAGTCAGCTCTTCTCTTGCCTGCCTCTTTTTGCCCTGTGTCCTGAGGCTTGATGCTGTCACCAGAAACATGCTACTTTGTGAGAAACAGTCATATTTTGGCGATCTCCACATTTGTCTTGGGTTGCAAAGAACTGAAAAGGCTTGTCTGGTGTCTTGATTTATTTGTATTTGTGCTTCCATGACAGCAATGTGCTCTGTACCTGTTTAATTGGCTTAAATCAAATTTGAACTCTAAGCAAGCTTAAAACAACAGAGCTGTACAAGAGAGCTGTGGTCTTGGTTACAGAATTGTAGATGAGGTTACAAAGACAAAAATAAAATTATAGTGTTAAATTTCAGACTATACAATAAAAGTCCCCCTTAGCTTTTATGGTACTTTAGCTATCTGGAGGGAGAAAGGGCAAAGAAAGGGATGCTGTGTCTCTGAGCACCTCTTTCTTCCAGTCTTCAATAGAGAAGCCTTCTGCCTTCCCCATCTTAATGTTTCCAAGCCTACTGTGTCCCTGAAAAATACTATCCCTCCTAGCTTGAGTGACCTTCTTACAAAGCAGAACATTTCTTGCAAGACGTTCTCAGTCATGTCCCATAGGCATACCATTTTGTAAGGTCCAGTTACTCCTAGGCAATAATCATGACACAATAATTATTGACAGGCTGGATTACAAACTTAACATTTAGAGTGTTCGTTCTAAATAAACTTCCTTTCTCACCTCCTATTAGTTTGGTATCCCTGCCGTCATAACACCTGCCCTGTGGTTTGTCCCAGTCCCAGTCTCCTCCATCTACTGCTTGCTCAGCCTAAAGTGGAAGAAAAATGCCTGTAGGATCAATATGTTCAAACCATTTGAGGAAAGGAGTGTGACAATGTGCCAAAGAAATTTTGAGGCAGAGTGACGGACAAAAGTTCCTAGCAAGCAACAATAATAATGTGCGTAAAGTGGATTTTTATTCAAAATTTCCTTAGGCAGCCCCATTCTTATCAAAAGATACCATTTTATGATAAAAATTGTTATGTCTGTTTAGCAAAACATTTCCATTGTACTCTTAATAAAATGTCTATTCCCCTGAAAGTGTTTTGCAATGAATGTATACTGATGTGCAAAAACATGATTTTATCTTTATAGGAATTTGTTATGAATAGTCTTTGAAAATGTCTCTCTCAAGCTGCAGGTTTTCCCATTCAATCTGCACTGTTTGTATTTGTCCTCTCACCAGTAGCATCTGCAGCCAAGGCTTTCTGCAGAGTCAAATCACAGCATTCCGAATGAAATGTAAAATCCTTAGTGATGGACCTCTTCAGTAGGCTAGACATAGCACTAAAGAAAAAATTATTGATTTTGTTTCAAGAAAATGGTGACATGCATTTCAATATGAACCCATCAGCCTATCTGGCCCTGTAGTTGTAAGTGTACTGTGGTGATGGTTTGAAATCTTAGCCGTGTGGCTGAACCCTGTTGGATAAACCCGCAACCAATATCAGTCCTAAAAACTCTGAAATCTATATTTTACTTTAAAAACTAAAAAAGTGAAATCTCCTCCTCTGGCTATACAAAGGAATGGTCACATACAACTGAAAATTCATTCCCTGTAAAGGCAAACCTGCACTGTAGTTATTTGCTGTTATGGTTATGGATCTAACACAGAGTGTCGCAGCATTGCAGACTGAGTCTATGTTAAATTACATTTAATGCTTTCAAGTTTGCAAGATAATTAAAAAGCTATAAATAAAATATTACAAAATACATAGCTGTTTCATATAGTAGTTCCTACTCATTTACTTAATTGCAGTAGTAATAATAATAATATACTGTATTGCAGTGGAGGCTGCAGTTAAGGGACAAGGGTCTCATTGCCCCAGGACTTGACAAAATAAACCAAAAATATGATCCTGCCAACACAGCCATTGTCAATGCATCAGTGGAAGTGATTAGTTAAGACAGGTGTCTGACTTGCAGTTCTTGAGGTGTGTGAGGCTCAGAGAACGTGTAAGTATGGTGTGAATGCAGGACTTGCATGCAGTGACTGATGGCTGGATGATGCTGGCAGGAAGGCTGGTCTGCAACCAGCATCCCCGGCCAGAGGAGGAAGCCTGACAGCAGAGCCCATTGCTGCCGCATAATTTGGCTGAAGGGTGACACAGCTGCATACTCACCTTGGTCTCATTTTGGGTAGTGAGGTGGCTGGGGAGTCTTTCCCACTGAAGAGATGTTTCTCTCCATTACTGCTTGAATTTCATAGTGGGTTCCCTGTAGCTCTGACAGCTCTTTTCGTTGTCGTGTGTTCTTTGTGCTGTAGGCTTATAAATCGGGTAATATTCCAAGAATGTAAAGACTAAAATACTTAATTTATAAAGACATGAGAGCATTTCTACAGGGTGATTCAGGGCAGCTGAATTAGCTCCTTAACAAGGCTTGCGTTAATATATTCTTGACTTTTTGTCTAAGTCCTGCTTATTTGATGTGAGTTTATTCAGCAAGTAGAGTAAAACCTGTTTTGAGAGCCTGCCAGCATCTAGCATACCTGTAGCTCCCAGGAGAAGGAAATGTAGATGTCAGGGTGGATCTGCAAGTAGGAAAGTGTATAGTGTAGTCAATTTGAAGCCTGTACTAACAGATTATTGACAAAGCGGTCATACACCTAGACCTTAAGCAACCCTAATATTGAGGAAGCACTCTGAAAAGTGAGAGGTGGAAAGAGACCTGAGACCATGAATGAAAAAAAATTCTAGACCTTTTTTATCTGTGATACTTTACCACTAGGTACGTTTTCAGAGAAAGACCTTGCAATTAATTAGCAGACTTTTCTTGCCCAAGCTTGTTTATGATTTGAAGATTGTTGACATTTCTGTAGAAATCATTAATAATATTCAATCTGAAAATTAGCAGTTTGTCTAAACAGAGTAAATAGTAATACATGTTAAAAACCTAATCTAACTGGTTAATTCACAAAGCTATTTATCTCTGTTATGAATGCCCATTTCATCCACTTTTCACTGCTCACATGTGCACGTACACACATACACACAAAATCTCAGTTACAATGTTCCTCCTGGGATACTTTAAAGTAAATGGAAAGCTGCTTCTTTTTCCAAAGCCTCTCATTCTGCATTCTTGAGAGAGGCAGAACTAAATGGAGGCAATGGAATAGAAATATGGAAGGCGATAGTATGCATGTATTTAAACCTAAAGCCTTCTTCTGTTAATTCAGATGTTCAATTTAAATTTGAATAGAGATTAATAAATTACACAAATTATAACACTTCGAACTTGGGTGTGGGCCAGTGGTGTTATATATAAGCAGTGTTGAGCTTCTGGAGCTTCAGCATGCTCATTCATATTCATCCAGTGCTAACCAGAGAAATAATAGCATTATCACCTAGTTCAGTAATCAAATAATGGAAAACTGATCTCCGGGAGTTTTGACTGGAATAGAAAGTAGTTCCTATTGTGTTTATTAGCTGGAATACTAAGGGCTCAGCTGTGGTGTGTTAATGAGTGATATTTTAATAAATTTCTGAATCTGGATACATAAGCATCCTGATGAAAGTAGAATTAGCTGTTTCAGTCTCTCATTAGCTTACCATCTCTCCTGTATCTTACGATTTTTTTTGTCTTTGCAATGTAATGCTACCTTGCACAGAATGTTGACTGGCTTGCTAGCTAAAGTACTGTTCTAGTTCTTGAATATTATTAATTAATTAAGATATTCCTCCAGTGGAAATATATTAGGGGACTATTAGGGGCATATGTTAATTGTGCCTGTATTGCTTAGCTTCATTTATTAAATTTTTCTAGTGATATATATTAATAGACTTGTAATAGACATGGCTACATTTTCAGAAGAAATGGGTGTAGTTGTGTAGAGTAAATTTGAAGACAGGTAAGTTACATGTGAGGCAATGTATGAAAGCAAAACACGTGCCTGAGGTGAGGCAGTCACCAAAGTAGTGTTTTGCCCATCTCCCATTAATTCAGTGTTACTAATCTAAACATGTAGTAGCAACACATTTGTGTATGAATGAATATGATAAATTAGGAACTTGAAGATAAATGTACCATTAACTTGCTCTGCCTTCTGAAACCTGACAAGCTGTATCCCGAAAAACAAAAAGGAAGTCCTAGAATCAAGGCGCTCGGGTTTTTTTCAGTATAGGGAACACTGTAGCATATATTGACATTAAAAGCTTCAACTTTTCAAACATCTTTAGGGAGCACTGAAACATTTATCTTTCCTGTCTGTTCCATGCAGGGAACTACTGGAACGCGGCTTCTTTTGTTACTTCGTCATCCTACCTTCACTTCTCCACCTTCCAAGGGGAAACCAGTGCAGACATCTCTTTCTATTTCAAAACATCAGCCTCCGATGGGGTGTTTCTTGAGAATCTGGGCAACACTGATTTCATCAAACTGGAGCTGAAATGTAAGTATGTGCTTCCGATCACTCTTCTCGGCACCTGAAGCGGATTCATGTCAGATACTAAGTTTCAGGAAAAGTGTATTGTCCAGTAAAATGTGTAAGCTCACTAAATTCTGCAAAAAACTTCCAAATCAAGCCGCTTGATGTATTTTCAAGTTGCTTTCTGTGTGAGGAGCACTTGAAGTATATTTGGGTTGTTTATTGAGGGGAGAGATACAAAGAAGGTTAGAACTGGTACCATCAGTTATAAAAATCACACTGACCTGAAAAGATTTTTCAAAACTGCGTGCCAGATTTATTTCTTTAAAGTGTGTGCCTTCAACTCTGTGCATTTTTCTATTTCATCTCATGGTTGTTTTGGAAAAAGGTGAAAGAAAGAAAAAAGAGAGACCATCCTAATCAGCACTGTAAGGAGCCAAAGAGCTGAAAACTTGCATATGATATTTAAAAGCCCTAAAAGATCTCATAAAAATAAATTTTTATCAGCATTATCTGTTAATAAAATCGCTGATCTGAAAAAGAGGGCATAATGGTGTCAAGAGGCAAGTTAATTTTATTATTTAAACCATTTTTAATGTCCCAGGGGCAAACTTTCCAAGGAAGGTGCCGAAATCCTCAGCTGTACCTGAATTCTGCACAGTGAAATCAAAGCAGTTGAATTAGCAGGGGAGAGGGGGAATGTTTTATGTTTCCTTTGTTATCCCTTGACCCAGTTTACCCTGCCGTAAATGGGAGCGGTGACAGTCCTGCTGTGGTACGTGCAGCTGTTATTAACAGCCTCTAGCGGCACATTACAGCAGCAAGGTTACACGAGCGCAGCAGGCTGCCTCTCTGCACTCCAGCACCAGGAAAAAGCATTTGTGCTTCCTTTTGCTGCAGGAGCGACTCATGGATGCCAAGGACCCAGCTCTAAATACTGATGCACAAAAGTCAACATCAAGAGTCACTAATGTCGAAAGAGAAGAAATTGTTTGCATACCCCAAATAACGTATTTTTATGTAGATTCAATGTCATTGACACACCCACATCTAATTTTAAAACAAAATGCCACTTTCGACACTTCCCAAAGTATGAACACACAAATTAGAATGTGGAATTTTAGAAATGACCAGGAGGCCCCTTTAAAATGTAACTAAATTTTCCATCCAGGTAATTGTAATGTGCAAGTTCCAAGTGGGCAAGAGCTTCTTTCCCTCTTTCTACAAGGAATTTAGTTGATGTTGCTTAATCCCAATCTTCTGTAATCTACACTGGTACAAATCAAAATAGCTGCTATTGAGTCACAGGGAATAGTCTCATTTGTATTAACAAGGGGCATGGTCCTTTAATAATAAAGTGGCAGCTATTTCTAACTTCACTTTGAACTTAAGTACTACATACAGTCAGCTGAGGTGGGCATCTCCAGAGCTTCTTGCTCTTCTACTGTATGGTAGGTGTTCTCAGGCACTGTAGTTATCAGACCAGCCATGCTGTTCACTTAGGTGAAAGGTGACAATAACAGTGAATAAAGGTGACTTGACAGTGACTGTAATTCTTTTGAACTCAACACGGTTTAAATAAGAATCATGGTGCAGCAGCTCGCTGAAGAGATGCATCAGTTCAAGAAAGCACGTGGCAGTGTACCCAGAATATCATTAAACAGTAGTTTAGTTTTAAGCCTGTACTTAAGATCTACTGATTTTGCTGTGATCTGGCATATGCAGAAATTCAACCTCTGCCTCATGTCCCTTAATCTAAATCTTAGATTACACATTCTTGATGGCAGAAATTGAAATATTATCTGTAAAACCAGTCTGTGAGGTCAAACATACTATTACTGTTTAAAGTAGTGAAATACTCTTGATTAAAACTATCCTGACTGTATTTGCTAAAAAATACAAAGCAGTTTGTTTGATATAATTGCATCCACTCTACCTTTTCTTTCCTGGAAACTATTGCTTGAAATTTTCAGAGCCCCACAAAACAGGCCTTTCTGTGACTTAAATGTTCTACCAGTCACAGCACAAAAAGAGTTGAATACTGTGGGTTTAGTAACAAAAAGAAACTCGTTCTCTTTTCTGAATTACACGTTTATTTTATGACTCTTAAATGGTTAGTGATGCATAAGCTTAGCTCTACAGACCAGGAACTGAAAAATTCTACAATATCCAGTATTTTAATCAGCTTGCTGCACTTGGTGAATGTATTAGGGCAACAAATCATTCAGTCTATGAAAATTCTTATCTTCCAGTCTTTGGAAAGGAGCTTGCTATTGTATGTTTTATTCTGAGAACAGGAGTTGTCACTAGGAATGCTTATTAAATTATTTTATTGGTGTGCTGTCTTGGAGCTTCTTAAGGTCTAATAACTGCACAGATTGTTTTCTAACTCTCTAGATTTATAAGAAAAGGAGGTGGAATTTGCATATCTTAAAGAGCAACCTCATGTGCCTTCAGCAAAGCCTCAGATTGCCATCTCTGAGGAGAGGGGGAACACAGGAAGGAAGGGAAGAATATGTTTCTCTGATTTAAGAAGTAGTTTTTCCAAACAGCTGACAAGGAAGACTGTCATGAAAAAAACAGTGATAAAATGCTACTATGAATGTGGCTGAAGTCTTTAGTTATTCCATTTATCAAGCAGCTCCTCTGGCAGGCTCATACTTGTCACCATTCACGGAACAGTTGGCAGAGATGTAGAATTACCTGAAGCCTCAGTTTTTACATACATCAGTAAATCTACAGAACCCCATTATTTTTATAGCTGGCTGGTCAGCTGACAACAACTAGGTTTGCTTAGAAAGGAGGTAGTTGGATAAGGTATAAATTTTTCTTTAAAGCAGTGCTAGCAGAAACCATACATCTCTGGCCTAAATTTTCAGATGTTTTTAAAATTGGAACTGTTTTTTAGAGAGAGAAAAAAAAAAAGATGTTTTCTCTTTTCAGCTTTCCTATACAGTTTTGGGAAGGTTTAACCTAAAATCCAGTCTTTCTATATAAACACCATTGTGAACACCATTTTTTCATTTATACAACCCCCCTCTCCCCTCACCATATGCTTTTTTTTTTTTTTCCTTCTTTAACCTTGACCTACCTTTTAGGACCCAGAGGTATGTAACCTGCTGTCTACAAAGCCTGCCAGGGCAACAGTCTCAGACAGTTTGTTGTCAGTGCCTTTCATAAAAGGAATCCACCAAAAAGTTTGAATGTCATTTTGAAGAACTGTTTGGCATCTTTCTCAAAGCCCCTCATTTGCCCCCCACAGTATGTACCTGAAAGTCCCTATGAAATTTAGTGTCTGCTCTCCATATAACTATACGGTGTATGTGCAGTAGAGCTGGCACTTGCTCTGAGAGGTGGTGGGGAGTTGGCTGTAGTACGCAGTACTTCTATGAAGTGAAATAAGCTGCGTGGCCCATCAGATACACGTATCTGCCATAAGAGACTCACTCGCTACAGCTAACCATTTTAGCTGGCCATTGCCCTGTTTCACCCTTTGCCTTTACCTCTGTCCCCTTGTCTCAGATGTTGGGAGCACACCTAGCATACATGAAAGAGAGATAAACAGCAGCCTGTATGTCAGCCAACAGGAACATGGATCCTCCAGCTCTTCACCAGCAATCCTAATGTTCTTTTTTTAAGCACTTCAGGGTTGAGTGTTGCCAAACGAAACATGTCAAGAATTTCATTTAGAATTCTTGAAGACTCTCAGCTCCCCTCCCAATTCAGGTCTTCTTTGCAGTCACTCCTCCCTGGAAATGGTAGCTTTGCATAATGAAGTCTGGCTAGAGCCATTGAGGTGCAGGGAAATAGGCCTCCAGGATCCTACTTTGAAACTCTGCATCAGGCAGGGGGCTACCTAAAATCTGGCTGAATATCAACATATCTGACTAGGCTCAAATGAGCAAAAGTATGCTCATGCTTATGAGATGTGGGTTGAAGACTCTGGAGAGTTACATCTATGAAAACCCAACTATTTCATACCCGTGAGGTATTTGTCAAATAGACCCCATTTGAATTTTCTGATCAAGAGTAATCTCAAGTTTTTGGATGAAATGTATTCCTGAAAGCAAATTTTGGAAGGTGCATGTTCCTGAGAATTTGGGAAGAAGCATCTACCATCACTAGTTTGTATCAGATTCTCAGGACTGTTGCCCCAGAAAGCCTGTGGTGAATTAAACTGTTTTCAGAAAACTCTTTTAATGACATTGTCCTATAATTCTAATGAAAAAGATACTCTGCTTACTTCTGTAGCTCCTCTCATCCCAGCATAGACACTAATGAATTGGGTCTCGCTGTTATTATTCTGAAGTAAGTAAAAAGCAAGTCAGTTTTGCAACAGAAAAAAAGGATGAGGCTTAGAGAGATAAAGGTCAGATTGTGTTTGATCCTGGCATGAACATGTAAGAGAGGAAGGAGCTTTCTTATTAATTTATTGTGGAAAGCTAGAAATATTTACAACCCCTGCATTCAGATATGTCACTTGGCTGATAACCCCTGCAATGCTAGCTGCCCTAAAAGTCCCTCCAAGGAGCGATCAGTGAACTTGGCTTCAGTGAGAAGGATTACGTGGAGCAGCTTGCTAATGAGAGCAGCGGTATGGCTTCAGGATGGGCCTACTTGTTCGGTGGGCAAGGGATACTGACAGCGCTCTGACACCTAACATTGGCACTTGCAGAGAAAAGTCCTGCAGTGCTCCTTGTGTTTAGCTGTTATGAGGGTACTTAGTTGAGACATAAGTAATTTCTCCAAAATCAGACAAGAGGCAGTGACAGACCAGGGACCATGATTCCCACTGCTGTTTGCTTCTGCCCAGACAGCATTTGTTCCTCCAGACTGAATGCTTTAACGCGACTGATTAATATATTTTCTTACAAATTTTAATAACTTCATCACTTCTTTCTAAAGAAGTGCATACTAAAATGGAATTCTACCATATCAATGAGTTTTCCACATGATACTCTTTAAATTCCCATATGCTAGTGTAAATGCAGCTTACATGTTCCACTGCTTTATTTTTCTAGCCG